TGTGGATTTTGTTGTTTTTGTTTAGTTCCTTTTCCACTTGCTAGTCATTACTAATTGTTTTTTTAGCTTTGGTGAATGCAAAGAAGATCTCAAGGACCACCTACTCACAACCTTGATCACGAAATCGACCGAACCTTGAGACAAGTCCGTAGACTCTATCAAGAAGAGGGAAGAGGTTTTGGTGCAATTTTTGATAGTGAAAGTGATTCTTGTTCCTCACATTCCCAAGGTGACGAAATGGCGGGACAACAAGTGGATGTATTATTCCGTGAGTTCGGTAATCCGGAGGATTATGAGCTCATCGGTGGGATATTGTTACCCGTCACTGAGACTAACTTCACCATCCATCCTCAATACACACGAATGGTTCAAGCGGAGCAATTCTTGGGTTCGCCAAGTGAAGACCCCATTGAGCACCTTGATAGGTTCCTCGAACTCTGTGCCATGATACAAACCAACCAAGTTTCTCAAGAAGACATCCGGATGCACCAATTTCGGCAATCTCTTGCGGGGAGAGCAAAGAAGTGGCTCAAGCAAGTCAAGCCTAACTCTCTCACGACATGGAGGGAAATTGTGCAAGCATTCTTGAAGAGATTCATCTCCGAGGAGAAAACCGCCGAGATGAGGAGGAAGATAGCATATTTTGAACAAGAGGCGGAGGAGAGTCTTAGTGAAGCTTGAGAGAGGTTTAAGGAGTTGGTGCAAGCATGTCCTCACCATGAGTACAATCAAAGCTTACTCATGAGGTTCTTCTATGATGGTTTGGAACCGATGTCCCGAGCTAATTTGGATGCGGGAGCGGGTGGACAATTGATCAAAGTCCCTCAAAATCAAGTTGAAGCAACGATCGAAGAGGTAGTTAAAAATTACTCTTAGGGAGGAAGAAGGAGGAATGCACCAAAGAAAGGTGGGAAGTATGAGTTGGAGAAGGTCGATCAATTGCAACATCAAATTGAGATGTTGACAAAAGGGCTTGCCAAGTTGAATACAAGTGTTGCTAGTGGTTCAAGCTCCTCCCAAGTCAACTCTTTCTCTTGTCAAAATTGTGGTGGCACCAACCATGATACATCCTATTGTGGCGGGTTGAGCCCGGAGCATGTAGCGACATACAACACAAGGCAAGAAGGGTATAGGGGAAATGGTGGAGGAGTAGCTTGGAGACAACCACCACCTGGATTTGCAAACCAACCTCAACAATGGAATCAACAGGCTCAACAAACATACAATTCCAACACCCAATATCAAAACCCTCCTCCATTCCAAACCCAAAATCAAAGAGGAAACTACCCAAGAAACAACCAACACAATAATCAACACCAATACCAAAATCAAACCCAAGCAACTCAAAGAAGTCAAGAGCAAGCATCTCAACCCGATTCTACTCAAACTCAAATTCTTCAACAACTTCAAGCCATGAATCAACAAATGCAAGAAGTCAAGGCTCATAACAAGATGGTTGATTCACAAGTAGCACAATTGGCCGAGAGAGTTCCTTTTAACTCATCTTCAACTTTGCCCGGACAATCACAAACCAACCCTTCCAATATTGTAAAACCCGACTCTTGCACGGCAATCACATTGAGATCGGGTACATCTTATGAGAGTCCCAAGGAAGAGGATGGTAAGGAAAAGGAGGGAGAAGAAGAGATGAGTGATGATAAGAAAGTTAAAGAAGAGAAGGTTGATGAGAAAGAGAAGAGTATGGAGAAAAAGAAGACTAAGGATGTAATGACATCCTCAACTTCTAGTGAGGCTAGAAACCTTAATGGACCGGTTCCTTTTCCCGGTCGGCGTGGGAGAGAAAATTGAACGATAAATTTGCAAGGTTCCTAAGTGTGATGAAAAACTTACACATTAACCTCCCTTTCATTGAAGTTGTCACACAAATGCCTTCATACTCCAAGTTCTTGAAAGACATTCTCACCAACAAAAGGAAGCTCAATGATGAGCTTATCACTCTTCCCCATCAAGTGAGTGCACTTGTTCAACACAAAATGCCCAAGAAGCAAAAGGACCTGGGAAGCTTTACCTTGCCGGTCAAAATTGGGAACATGGTAGCTAGGGGTGCCCTAGCCGACCTCGGAGCAAGTGTTAGTTTAATCCCTCTATCCATTGCTCAAAAGCTTAACATTGAGATGATCCCCACTAGGAAAACCATTCAATTGGCCGATCGATCGGTGAAGCTACCTTGTGGCGAGCTTGAAGATGTCCCTATTCAAGTTGCGCATATCTATGTGCCATGTGACTTTGTGTTGATGGATATGGAAGAAGATGTGGATACACCCTTGATCTTGGGTCGTGAAGCTCTTAAAACTTTGGGGGCGGTAATCAATTGCAAGAATAATACACTTACATGTGAAGTGGCCGATGAAAAAATTGTCTTTGAATTCTCTAAGCTACTCAAAACCCCCATGGTTGAGAAGTGTTATAGGGTCGATGTTGTCAATGAAGAGCTAGATCGTTTGGGAAGGGTTGTCATGAGTCCTAAAGATCCTATGGCCGAAGCTCTCACATGTGAGGAAAATTACTTCTCCCAAGAAGCAAAGGAATTTGCTATGGCCATTGAAGAAGCCAAAAAGGAAGAAGAGAACGGTACTAAGCATGATGAGCTTGAGCATAAGGAGGAAATATTGGAGGAGAGTTCTAAGCCTCCTCCCAAGGTAGAACTCAAACCCCTTCCCCCTTCTTTGAAATATGCTTATCTTGGAAATGAAGGAGAATACCCCATTATTGTCAATGCTTCCCTTAATGGTCTTGATTTGGAAAAATTGATTGTTGTTTTGAGAAAATATAGAAATGTGATAGGGTATAGCATTGACGATATTAAGGGTATTAGCCCTTCTTTATGCATGCATCGTATTCACCTTGAGGATGATCAATCCACCTCCATTGAACCTCAAAGGAGGTTAAACCCCAATCTCCAAGAGGTAGTCAAGAAGGAAATTTTGAAATTGCGTGAGGCGGGTATAATCTATGCTATCTCCGATAGCAAGTGGGTTAGCCCGGTTCACGTGGTCCCCAAAAAGGGTGGAATGACCATTTTCAAGGGAGAAGGAGGAGAGGAAATCTCCACCCGGACGGTCACCGGGTGGAGGATGTGCATTGATTATAGGAAGCTGAACAAGAACACTAAGAAAGATCATTTTCCTCTCTCCTTCATGGATCAAATGTTGGAAAGACTCTCCCATCATGCTTTCTTTTGCTTTTTGGATGGATACTCCGGCTTTTTCCAAATCCCTATCCATCAAAATGATCAAGATAAAACTACTTTTACGTGTCCATATGGGACATATGCGTACCGAAGAATGCCATTCGGGTTATGCAATGCTCCCTCAACTTTCCAACGATGCATGACTTCCATTTTTTCTGAAATGCTTGAGAATGAAATTGAAGTTTTTATGGATGATTTTAGTGTTGGTGGATCGTCTTTTGACACATGCCTTATTAACCTTGAAAAAGTTTTGAAAAGGTGTCAAGAGACGAGTTTAGTGTTGAATTGGGAAAAATGTCATTTTATGGTCGAGGAAGGTATTGTCCTAGGCCATAAAGTATCAAAAAAGGGCATTGAAGTAGACTCGGCTAAGGTTTCGGTGATTGCTAAGTTGCCCCCTCCTACCTCCGTCATGGGAGTGAGAGCTTTTCTTGGGCATGCCGGTTTTTACCGGAGGTTTATCAAAAAAATTTCATCTATCGCCAAACTCTTAACCGAATTACTCAAAAAGGATGTTGTGTTCAATTTTGATGAGGGTTGCCTTGAGGCATTTCAAAATCTCAAGGAAGCCCTCATCTCTTCTCCTGTGGTGCAAGCTCCGGATTGGAGCTTGCCTTTTGAGCTAATGTGCAATGCAAGTGATTTTGCTGTAGGTGACGTGCTTGGGCAAAAGAAAGAAGGAAGATCTTGTGTTATCCACTACGCAAGTAGAACCCTCGACGAAGCTCAAAATAATTATACCACAACGGAGAAGGAAATGCTAGCGGTTGTCTTTGCCATGGATAAGTTCCGGTCTTACCTCATATGCTCAAAGGTGATAGTCTACACGGATCACATCGCGGTCCGCTACCTTATGACCAAAAAGGAAGCAAAACCGCGTCTCATTCGTTGGGTTCTTTCTCTCAAAGACTTTGACATGGAGATGAGGGACAAAAAGGGGGCGGAAAATTATGTAGCGGACCATCTATCGAGACTTCTTTTTGAGACTAAAGAAGACGTGCCTATCAATGAAGAATTGGGTTTTGAGGCTCTTATGGCCATTGGATCAACACCAAGCCCTTGGTATGCGGACATTGCCAATTACTTAGCATGTGGTGTCGTTCCCCCGGAGTTCTCCTCTCAACAAAAGAAAAGGTTTTTCAAAGAAGTGAGGAGATATTTTTGGAACGATCCTTATCTATTCAAGCAATGTGGAGATGGGCTTTTTAGAAAATGTGTTCCGGATCATGAGATCGAAGGGGTGCTTGAGCATTGTCATTCATTGCCATGTGGTGGGCATGGAGGAGTAGAAAAGACCGTGGCTAAAATTTCTCAATCTCTTCTTTGGTGGCCAACAATGCACAAGGATGCCCACAAATTCATATCTAGATGTGATAAGTGCCAAAGAAGTGGGGGCATAACCAAGCGTGATGAAATGCCTCAACAAAATATTTTGGAGGTTGAACCCTTTGATGTATGGGGGGTCGACTTTATGGGGCCTTTCGTTTCTTCTTGTGGCAATCTCTATATATTGGTGGCGGTGGACTACGTGACCAAGTGGATCGAAGCTATACCCTCGCCCACCAATGACCACAAGGTTGTGCTCAAGCTTCTAAAAAAGATCATCTTCCCATGATTCGGGGTCCCAAGAGTTCTTATTAGCGATGGTGGTTCTCACTCTGCCAAGAAACAACTTGAAGCTCTCCTCAAACGCTATGGGGTTCATCATAAAATCGGCCTACCATACCACCCCCAAACTCAAGGACAAGTGGAAGTATCAAATAGGGAGATCAAGAACCTTCTTGAGAGGATGGTGAACAAGTCTAGAAAAGATTGGTCTCTCAAACTTGATGATACGCTTTGGGCTCTACGGACGGCTTACAAGACCCCGATTGGTACTACTCCTTACCGATTGGTCAATGGAAAGGCTTGTCATTTGCCGGTCGAGTTAGAGTACAAAGCTTGGTGGGCGATCAAAGGGCTCAATACGGATATGACCTTGGCGGGCGAAAAGAGGCTACTTAAGCTCAACGAACTTGAGGAGCTCCGCTATGATGCCTATGAGAACTCGAAACTCTACAAGGAGAGAACCAAGAGGTAGCACGACCAACATATAAGGAACAAGAGCTTTAAGGTTGGGGACAAGGTTTTGTTATTCAATTCTAGGCTCCGTTTGTTCCCCGGAAAACTTAAGTCTAAATGGTCGGGGCCTTTCACAATTTCAAAAACAACTCCTTATTGGTCCTTTGAGTTAGAAGCGAATGGGAACAAGTTCATGGTCAACGGCCACCGTTTGAAGCTCTACCATTGCAATGATCAAATTGGCATGATTGAGTGCATGAGGCTCGTTCTGCCGGATCCTAAGTCACTTTCTTGATGATAATGTGAAATGGTCAAGCTAATGACCTTATAAAGAAGCGCTTTTTGGGAGGCAACCCGAATTCTCAACCCTTTTTGATTTTGTGTTTTTTGTCTTTGACTATTTTTGGATTATTTTTCCTTTAATCTCTTATTGAGTGTGTTGTTCATTCTTTAGGTACCTTGATCTTTGGGTGCATGATCTATTAAGTTGGGTTTGGAGAAGAGAAGGAGTTTGGAGAAAGAGGAAGTGGAGATGCCCAGAGAGGACCTTGGAGAGGGCGCGCACAGGCCACCCGCGGGCAAGGCCCATTGGCCCGCGGGCGCGGCAAGCCCCTCCCCTGTTTTCAAGATAAAGAGGAGATGCCTGGGTTATAACTGGAGAGGGCGCGCACAGAAGGCTCAGGGATACAGAGAGCGGGCGCGGGCAGAGTTAGCCGCAGGCGCGCAGTTCCACCCCGCGGGCGCGGCATCCTGCAGTCCAGAAAAACAGAAACCTGAAACCCTGAAGCCGCGGGCGCGGCATACGATCCCGCGGGCGCGGTCAGAGCATGCCGCGGGCGCGGCCCTTCAGGGCTGCGACTTCTCCTTTTATTTTCAGCCATATGCCCGAAAACACAATCAGTTTTTTTTCCCTTTTCTCTCTCTACTCCTTACTCCATTCCAAACCCTAACCCATTCCTCTTAAATTTCTCTTCATAATTCATCAAATTCCATCAAATTTCAACAATTCCCTCACTCTTCTACAATTTTTCTCACCAAAAATATGAAATTTCATCCTTTAAAACCCCCAATTTCGGTATTCCTCTTTGTGTGGCAATTTCTTTCACCATTGGAGGGTTCTTGGAGGAAGTCTTGATTTCTTCTTCAAGGGGATAGTACGAGCAATTATTGGTATCCATTTTGGTATACATTTCTTCCTTACTCGCATTTACCTTTGAATTTGAAACATGCTTTTGGTTGAGAAATTGTATGTTTATGAATTTTCATGGTGAAATTTTTGATTGGTGCATGCCTATATTGTATTCATTCATCATCTTAAGCATTATTAATTGTTGAGTTGTTGTTTGTGTTAGTTTGTTCCTTGTCATAGATTGCTTGCTTGTGGTTTGAACTTGGTGATTTTTGGTTTTGGAGATTGTTGTAGTGTGATTATTGTGAGTGATTGTTTTGGAATTGGACTGCAATTTGATATTGGTGACAATGGTTTTCGGTTCTAAGAAGAGAAAAAGTGGGAAGGAACTCCAAGGTTCATCCTCTTCCAACCCCCAACAAAATGAACCTACACCCCAAACCGCTCCACCACCTCTACCACCCCTCAAATTCCACAACAAAAACCACAAAACCATCTATGACAACCTCCTAAACAGAAAATTGAGACCAACCAATCATTACCATCACTCCACCACAACCAAGCTTGGTATCGATGAGGATTGTTGGTTCTTGTTCAACAACCTCGAACTTGGTTCCTTTGTGTCAAGTGCCTATCGAACCTACAAAGAGCCTACCCTAGAGTTTCTTGCTTCCTTCGAAACTCATGCCGCAGGAGATAATGATCTCTCCATCTCCTTCCAACTCTTTAACAAAAAAGAAACCTTCACCCTCCGCCAGTTTAACCAACTGCTGGATTTCAACCCCGATGCCGATATGTTCTTCCCCGAACATGCGGGCCTCCATGCTGATGAGCCCCTTCACTGGTGGAAGGTCGTTTCGAGAATGGACGCCTTCAACTCCAAGTACTCTTTAGCCAGTGAGATCATGCACCCAGCCATCAGACTTCTGCATCGAATCCTTGGGTACACGGTCTTTAATAAACAGGACTTGGGGAAGATTACAACCGAAGAAATCCGACTATTATGGCTAGCTACGCAGCCGGAAATTGGGCACAAAATGAACTTCGGGTTTCTATTCACCAAATGCATTGAGAGTGTCCTGTCGGGTACAAGGAAAGGTGAAATTCATTTTGGAGGGATGGTAACTCGGATAGCCGAGAAGCTGGGGCATTTGGCTAAGCTCGAATCTTGCACCCCCGTAGGGAAGAGTGATGGGAGTGATATCTGGCTCGACCTCAACCAACTAAAAACCATGAAGTTCATCGCAGATACCGAGGATCGAGGAAAGACTTGGAGCTTACTTGTCTCCCACGAGCACCACTGTTTCCTGCCCAAGCCGGAATTCACTTCTTTCACAAGGGAAGGAGTCAATTACCCATGGTGGGTAAAGAAGGACTCAGGCGTCCTTCCTAGCGCTAGGATGGCCACGGGGGAAGGGTCCGACCAAAGTAATGAGGGCACAAAAGATGAGTTCCACCAACAACAACAACAACAAGGATCAAGGCAACAACAACAACACCATCAACCTGACTACCAACAACAAATGGAGGCAATGCGAGCCCAAATGGAAAGCATGCAACTCGGCATGCAAGGTATGTTTGCTTCCCACCAACACCTCTCTTACCAAACCAACGCCTTATATGATTTGAGTGTGCGTAGAGGGGATGTCACTTCCCCAGTCAACTACCCTTATGTGCCGGCCCAACAAGGGCTCGTTCCATCTTGGGGGGGTGACAACCTACCTACGAACCCATATTGGCAAGGGACCTCGGACCCTACTGTGCCTAGGCGTGATTTCCCTGATTAGGCCGGTCATTATGATTATCGGGTTTCGGGTGGGAGTGATTACAGGGGTGATCCTAACAACCCCTATGTCGACCCCTCTCACCCCGACCCCCTTGTCCAACCCGAGCCATATGACCAGTTATCCGCGTCCCAGCTTGACCTCTTCAAAGGTCATTAGCGGTGGCCACCTGGCTACTCCGGAGGTTGGGACCCCTATGGCCCCCCATCGGGTTTCTCCTACGACGATGGGAGCGCGGATAATGACGGTGCCGGCTCTAGTGGCAATTAGTCTCCCCCTTGTTCTTTTTGTTCCCTCCCTTTGTCTTCCCCCCCTATTACTTGTCCTCACGCCGCATCGAGGACAACGCTTTACTCTAGTGTAGGGGGGGGGGTGTCTGAGTCAAAGGAGAGTGTTAGGGAATGCTTGAGGCGAGTGTGGGGGAAGGCACCTAGGACTCAAGGGACTATTTAGGGGTTTTGGGTGTAGGTGTCGTTGGTAGCGTTGTTGTTGTCTGGTGTCTATGATGTCCGTTTCTATGATGATGATGATACGATGACAATGTTTTGATGATAATGACTCTATAATGATGAGATGTTTGGGTAGTAGGTCATACCCAAAGAATTTAGTTCATGGATTTTTTTTCTCTCTCTCTAGTACTAACGTTCTTTTCTTTGTAGTGCTTGCCTTGTTTTTCTTTGTTTTCCTCTCTTTTGTAGCTTGGAAGAAATTGAAAGCGACATGTGGAGGCACGGTAAATCGCTTGGTTGCTTTCTTTTTTTTCTTCAAGAGACATTGGTGAGATCTTACCTTTACTTTTCTTTTCTTTTCTCGTGTCGTGTTTAGTTTAGGCTTTAGCTTAGGAAAGAGTTGAATGGTTCGAGGATGTTTGCATGCGGTTCCAAGGAACCTGGGATCGTTGGTATTGAGACCGAACGATCACTTGTATGTCGATTGGGATTTATTTGAATCTTTAAGCCTCTCATATGAACCTTCTTGATTCTCTCTTTCCTTTGTTTTACTTCCTTTTGTGTGATAAGCATAATTATGGCATGATGATATGAATGTGTTTTGGAACTTGCTTGCTACATTTGGATTCTATCTCCGTGATGATTCATCCTTGAATGTTTGTCCTTTTTCTTAACTATGTGATGAGGTGCACATTTCGAGATTGTTGTTGATTGAATTAGACAAGCCTTAGTTAAGGTAGCAAGGGTAAGAACTTGTGAGGGCGTTTGAACCCCTAGTTCGCGGGATGTGATAAGATGGAGTTGCTCCCTGTAGTGGATTTGAAGCCCTCTAGTTGGTATTTGCTTACCTTTCTCATCCCGTGTGAGGTTCTCTTGTTCATTCCTTCATCAACTTGTTGAGCGGCGTATTAGGATCCTCGACTATGCATGTTTGAATCCTTGTGTTGACTATTAGCTCCCAAGATCGCGACCTTGGACTTTTGAGAGAGGAAAAGGGCACCATTTCTCATTTTTGTTTATTTTCTCTTTTATTTAGTTACAAATTTGATTTTTCTCTTTGCATCATCCCTCTTGCCAACCAATTTGAGCCTAATGTTTTCCCATTCTTGTCTCAACCTCATTACAAGCCTAGCGACCTATGTTTACTAACCCCTATTAGTTAATGAAGCAATGGCTTTGCGAGGCGAGTGTGAAAGAGCGTCATGAATGTGAACGTGAATCATTTGTGGAATTGGTTTGTAATTCTAGAGTTAAATATGTAAAGAAGTTTGAAAAAACAAAAAAAAAAAAAAAACCTTTATTTGATGAAATGAAAAATTTATTTATCTTGTATATATACTTGAATAAAGGGTGGTGATGCGAATGAAATCAAAATGTTTGGATATTCGTTTGAGTTGTGGTTGTGTTTTGAGTTTTGACCTTGAGGATCCCCCTTTCTCTTGCTTAACTTAGGAATTACCGCCACTATTTCAAATTGAATATTCCGACCTCTACCTTAAGCCGTGTCAGTACAACCCTTGTGAAGCCCCTTTGACTTTAAGAGTGCATGGTCAACAACCGGTGGAGGGAGATGGTTCTCAACCCTATGGAAAGAACGTGCATAGTTGAGATGTCGGGATGATCTTTTACATCCTCAAATTAAATCTTTTTCCGGTTCCTTCGTGGAATCATGAGGAGCCATCTAGGGGGACGATTTGAAGCTAGTGGGGAGAACGCGGACCGTTTTAGAAGGGATTAGGGCGAAAGATGACTCACTAGTTCTCTATGCTTAGTTGAGGCTCGACTCTTGCAATCTCTAACATCTTGAGGCGTGTATGCATCACGTAGTTGAGAATAGCTAATACTCTTTGACGTTTTTGTCATGGTTGAGTCCAGATAAAGCAATTGTTCTTTGGATCTCTTATGCTGTTTTTCCCAAAACCATGCCATATTATGTTTGTCTTTGTGGTGTTTGATTTTTCTTTCTCTCTTTGTCTTGCTTGAGGACAACCAAGAGGCAAGTGTGGGGGATTTTGATGTGTGGCATTTATGCCACCATTTTAACTCTTTTTTACTACCGATTTCCCCCGGATTCGTCACTTGCTTATGCCTATTTTAACCCCTTTTATCTTGATTTTAGTCACTTTAGCCCCCTCTCGTATTTTTCCTCCCCTTTTTGTCTTTTCTTCTAGTTTTTACCTCCTTTTTATGTGTTTTGACAGCTCCCAGCGCTTATGTGCGATTCACGAATCAATAGCTCGAGTGGAGATGCCAAAGGAGCTTGGCAAAAGAGTGGAGAAGCCAGGATGGAGAGGGCGCAATGTTCTGAAGGGCCGCGGGCGCGGGCTGGTAAGCTGCGGGCGCGGACAGGAAAAGTCTGAAGCCAGCAGAAGAAAGTGGAGATGGCGAGCCGCGGGCGCGGAGCATATGTGCCACGGGCGCGGCAGAGAAGCCCCGCGGGCGCGGCACTTAGGCCCGCGGGCGCGGCACTTAGGCCCGCGGGCGCGGATTTCTGGGTTTTACGAGGATATTTACCTAGTTTGGAGAGGGCGCGGCTGCCTATTCGGAGAGCCCTCTCCCTTGCCCTTTTTCTTCCTTTTGGTAAAAGACTATAAATAGTCCCTTGCTTGATTTTCTTAGCATCCACTATTCCATTGGCCCCAAAAATCATTGGTAGAGAGAGAAGTTCATGGTTTCTAGAGAGAGAAAACACTAGTGTTCAAGATTCAATCTTTGTAACCAAATATTCAAGCTTTCTTCTAGATTGTTGCTACTACTTTGATGATTTGGTAATCTTTAATCTTTATAATATCAATCTTTACTTTTGTTTCTCTAGTTTTTGATCTTCTTTGTTTTATTGCTCTTACTTGAGTTTATTTCCATAAATATTCAAGCTTTATTAGTTTCTTTGATTTTCCTTTCAAGTTAGAATCATGTTAGGTTGTGTTGGTATTGAATACATGCTTATGTTAGTTGTTATTGCCATTCCCTTCCTTCTAGCTTAGGTTTTTAGCTAGGGAAGGGGGTGAAAATCAAGTGTATTTGAATATCTATTGATTATTGATTGGGACTTATTCTTGAGTTGATGATTTGAGCTATAATATGCTTGGAGTTAGTGTGTGCACCTCTAATCCCAAGAATCTAGCCCTTGATGG